AAGAGCTGAACAAAATACAATTTCAATGAAGTTTGTCTAATTCTATAAATGATAAAAGAACCAAGTAGCTGAATGAGCTGTGATGAGTGATAAAGATGTTTGGCAGCTATAAGAGCGGCAGCTGTTTCTTTCTCCTAAAGTACAGCCCAGTGAGGCTCCACTCAGCACAGCGTTGCTCTTAATGGGATTTCACAACGTCAGCATTCTGCTGAGTCAGCATCGAACGCTGCGCCTGCTGTAGCCGCTGCTCCGAGTACAGCCGGGGCTCCAAACGACGCATTTCTGCGACTGCTGCATGAGAGACATAATGTAATGGGATTACTGCGAACCGGCGCTTCGCTTTCAGGTACCAGAGGAGTGATGAAGGATTCAGCGGACAGAAACAGGAGGATCCAGCTTAAATTCTGAATATGAGCAACTTTTCCTTTAATCACTGCAGTTAAAAACACCAGGCGTCCATCTTGAAAGTTTTTAGGTTTTCATCTAGAAGCCTAAACAGAATTCAATCACTGGGTTTTTTTTTTTTTTTTTTTTTTAAGTTCCTACTGAAGAGCGAACTACGTATAGCAAAAATATCTGCCGTCTGTCTCACTGTACTGCAAGGTACTAGCTGTTAGCCGGCCTCTTCTGCATGAGGCCCCGTCGTCGCTAAAAGCTAGCATTTGGCCACACTTCGGATTCTACCGCGCCGCACAGAGGACAGAGTTTAATGTGAGATCAATAATTCGCAAAATTAAATTGAGATACCTGTGAACAAGAAAATTGGTGCAACATCACCTCGAGCTAAAAGATTAAAAGCAGCCGGCCAACGAACAGACGCAATTCAACAAACTTCCTGCAAATTTTTTAACAAAAATGTACATTAACAAAGTTAAGGGAGAAAAACACTCGAGCCAATTTAATGAATCAGAGGAGGAACATTTTGTTATGTTTTTTTCAGAAAATGATCGACTGGAAGCTTAAAAAGAAACGGGGTGACCTTTGAACTCATCCATACCCGTTACAGGGAGAAGAAGCTAGCCGACAGACGCCTGCTAACTCTTCAGCGTTACCTGCATCAGCACAGGTGAATATTTCTGACAGCTGGGAACAAACTTTTAGTCTTTATCTTTCTTTATGAGTCCGTTTTATTTATCTGTGAAACCCCAACAGAGCCTGTTCAATCATTTGGGGCTTTCAACTCCCTCCGTCATGAAAAATGCAGGATTTCTCCTCTTCTAAGTTGGTGGCCTTCAGAAAATTTCAAAGTCAATGCAGAGATCTACATCCTTTAGGGAAAACACATCTATACGTGTTGTAGTAATTCCAGCTCCTCTAATTATTGATAATAGACGCTAAAGAGGTTTAAAATGTCACTTGATCTTTTTTCTCTTCTAAATTAGCTAAATGTTTCATGGGGGTTCTTCCTCTCCGAGTCTCATACGAGTTAATTAGGAGGACAGATAAATATATACATCTTTAATGCGTTTCTGCTGATGGTAGAAATCCACCAATTAAGCCACAGAGATCTGATGCTGAGCTCCATCTAACTGCTGATGAGGGGAATCAGCCTCCTTATCTAATAAATGCATATAAACAGAATATCCAGGCTGAATTTTATTACTAAAAGTTAAAACGATCAACCTTCTATCTCTGCTGAGCGTCCAGCAGACGGGATAGATCCCAGCGTCGCATCTATGGGGTGAAATCTGTTCCACTATTGTGAAAAGCTAAGAACACGTCAGAAAAATGGGAATTTAAAACAGAAAAACAGGCGATCTAGTGTTTCATTTAAAAAAAACGCAGAATTTAATTCTATCTTCTTAGCTTTATTTATTTTTTAAACAATATGTTAATTTTTTTAAGTTAAATTTTATTTTTAAGTTTGAGATTTTATATTTTCACATTTCTTTCTCTGAAATGTTTTTAGGATTAAGTTTTATGCGTTCAGTTCTTTTAAAATTGCATTTCACCGATCACAAATCCAAGCCTAACACAAACTTTCCTGATGCGCATATTTACCAAAAAATAAATAAATCTAGCTAAAGTTTAGCGGACCAATTCACTACAAAGGAAGGCCCGCCCCCACAGGGCAGGAGAATGTGATCTGGAAAATCGTTTGAAAAGAATAAAATTGAGAACACATTTTGAAAAGTACAAATTTGAGAAAGGGAAAATATACATTGAACAAATAAAAAAAAAATAAAAATAAAAATTATTTGTCAGTAAAATAAAAATTCATAAAATTTTGAAAAAGAAAATTCTGAAAAAAAAATGAAAAAAAAAATTAGGAGCATGCAGAATTCCTAATTAAATCAAGTTTGTGAAAATCTGGGCTGACATCAACCTCAAATATTGATTTTTTTCACGGGGTTCACCGATCGATCGCAACTGATCACGTTAATTTAAGAACATCGGGACGTGAGACTTATCGTCACTTTTATCTAGCCGTCTACTGAAGGTGTGAAAAACGCCCACCGCTAACGCTCTTTTTCACACTATTGTTCACCGCTGTCCTTTTTTTCAGAAGATAAAGATTGACGTATTAAAGGTTTTCTTGTAAGGAAAAATAATTATATTCTGTCATTTATCACAATATATTAATCAGACCATATTTGGATCAGTTAAAAATATCAGTATTCCAATGGAAATTAAACGTCAAAAATATGATCCGCAGACATCCATTAAAAAGTCATTAAAAGTAATTAAAATTCATTAAACATGGTCATCGTAGCATCTAAAATTATTTACTATTTTAAAAAAAAATACATTCTAAAAACAATTTCGTCAGATATATATACTAATACCATTAAAAATTACAGTTACTCATTCCTGTATAAATATTGTTAGCAGCGACGGGTCTTCATTAAGCTGCTGAAGCACAGAAACATCATCATGTGAGGTTGACCACATCTATAGCCTACTACTTAAAAAGTGGGATACATCATTGTTATTGTTTCTGGGTTTATGGGGATAAATTGCAGCGTCAAATTCCTAAAGCTTAATGCAATATCTAAATAATTGTAAATAGTAACAGCTAAGTCTAAAACTTTTTCTAAGGAATAAATCCTTTACGGTCTCTTACCATCAGCCCGTTCATCCGTTTCTATTTGCATGTTTTCTAAGCCAAAACAAGGCTTTGTTGGACTACTGGATAAAACCTGGAACTCAACGCTATTTTTGCCATTTTGAGTTGAAAAAGCTTCCTGGATGGGAAGAGAAATGTCTTCAAACTTGGAAACAAAGTCCAGTGGATTGTTTTTAAAATTTTTGGAACCATCATTTTAATCCACCTGCAAATCGTCTTGCCCAACTGCTCAAATCAAGAGTAAGTACATTTTTCTTTTTGGTGAGAATTTTTTCAGTACTGGGGCACTGGCCCCTGTTGGCCCCCCATCTACAACCGCCCGTGCCTGAAACGCTCTCCGCAAAAGTCTGAAATTATGTGGATAATTGGAAAACTTTCAGCTAACCCCCAGATCAGTGCAAGTTGCAAGCCTCTCTTCTCTACTGCCTGAAAGTGAGCCGACTTTTTATCGCCCCCTATAGGGCTGGAGGGAAATACGCCGCAAATATCTGGAGGGTTGATTTTAGTGATTAAAGTACAATCCTAATAGAAAAACAAGCTCTAAAATGACCAGAGTCATCCAGCTCTGCTCTCCATGTCACCATCTGCTGCTGACCCGCCCACTCCATCCTTTACCACACTGGATCTGGATCCTGCCAGGGCCCAGCAGGGCCAAACAGATGGCGTGGCCACTTAACCTCCACTAGCAGGAAAACCTTCCATATCAGACAGTGAGGATCCTCACAGCCTGACGCTGCAGAGACAACATGGAAGAGTCACAGAAAAGATCAGAGCCAGGTCCAGTGGTTTGATGTCGACACAGTCTCCTTTTGGTGCAGCCGTTTAATAATTGTCTGGATTGAAATATGCTCCTGACCAGGGGCGGATTTAGGAAATTCGGGGCCCTAGGCAGACACAGGCAAGGGGCCCATTTTATAGATAGAGAAATGTTAATAGAATAGACATCCATTATCTGTTCTAGGTTGTGTCCCTCTCTTCTTGTCCCTTTTCTTCTTGTTTTCCTCTCTATGTTTTGTACTCAGCTGACTTTTCATGCTGTCTCTAAAGGAATGAAAGATTTTTTCCAAGCACTAAGCTCACTTAGCTGATTGCTCCTTCCTGTGTTTCCAAAAAGGCCAAAGTAAATAACCCAGTCCTTCTTTTCACTGTAGACAAGCCATGATCTGCTTATCTGTTCTCCATTTTTCATTTGGATGAAATAATAGCTGCATGAATCATGACAGCAGACAAGATAGAGGAGAGCAGGAGGCGGGGTTACCAATCTACTCGCTCTGGAGAGCAGAGTTCGCTGCTTTTAGATGTTGTCTCCAAAGTCTCCAGTAGCAGAAAAAAGTCTCTAGATTTGGCGCTAGGAGCTTTTTAGAAATCAAAGTGCTAGAGGGGTCTGAAAAGTGGCTAAATATAGCGACTAAAGCGCTAAGTTGGCAACACTGCTCTTTGCATGGTTTGTTTTCAAATGGTTTGCTGCTGTCTGTTTGGACCTTTCTGAACATGTGCAGCAAATGGACTGATCCAATATGGTGGACACTGAAGGGGGGGGCTGAGACACATTTAATATTATCAGCGTTCTGATGGCATTTTAGCCATTTTTTAATCAAAAACATAATTAATGTTCACAAATAAGGAATAGTTGAATTAACTATACATATAAACAGAGTTTTATGGGGCCCCCAGGAACTTGAGGCCCTAGTATTGCCTAATGGTAAATAACCCCCCCCTCCTGACACTTTAAATAAACAAAAAAAACAACTTGTTAGCCAGCAGCTTTAGACAGATTTAAAGCTGGGGTCTCCTTTTCTTTATGTTTGTCAAACAGAGTTTGGAAAGTTTGTGTTTTAAAGTGTCAGCAAAAAATGACTTCAGTTTAATAATAAAACAACTATTTTAGAGTGAATAACCAACCTGGGAGCTTTAATGAGGATCATAAACTTACCATAGGTGAACTAGCCTTCCGACCAAAGCATCCAGGAGAAACAGAAAAACCTCCCCGGGAAAAACCGGGCGCTCCAAAAACCCACAAACTCTGTCTGGAAAGTGTTAAAAACAAAGATGGAGATCGAGTAGAAGAAGCTGTCCGGTTCGGAGGGGAAGAGAAAAAGTGAAATGACGGTGAAGCGGAGCTAGCGAGCTGCTCGGCTCCCTCCTTCCTTTGTTCCTGCTGCTGCTGCTGCTCCCTGGATTTATCACCGCCGTTCATGTGTCCCTGACTGCCGCTGATTGGCTGCAGCCTCCGGATCAAGACAAGGTGAGTGACGTCAATTTCCCACAGAACAACAGCCCGCTTCCGGTCACCGCGTCCACAAAATAAAACATGTTTTAAAGGAATGCAGCTCAGATAAGGGAATATTTCTTTATAATATGGATTATTAAAATTATTTAATACTATATCAATACATTTTTGCTGTGTTTTTCGTTTGTTGTGTTATTAATTTTAAACCCACCTTACTTTGTGTTTTATTTTGAAGGAAATCTTTTTGTGTTTCCTGTTAATTTCTGGGTGTTTAGCCTGCGGTAGGGTGGAGGCATTTCATGCCTTACATAGTTTGATTCTGACCAAAATCAGGATATTCTGTTACTTCTAAAAGTAATGTCATAAAAAAAATCTATTTTCATGATCTACTTCTACGGAAGAGGATTAGGGCAACTAAAAAAAAAAAGGTAATTGATTTTTAAATTTTATTTCAGTTTAACATGGAAAAAAGTCAGAATTCTGACTTTTTTCTCAGAATTCTGACTTTTTTCTAATACTAAACTGAAATAAAATTTAAAAATCAGTTAGCTTTTTTTTTTCTTCCGTATACTTCTGTCTTCTCAGTTTTAAAATAAATGTAATTTAAAACTTTTATGGGTTAGTAAACAAACACAGAAAAAAAAAATCAGTTTACAGCAAAAGATAAAGAATAAAAGTTAAAGTGCAACTAAATCAGAATGTTAATCGGGGTGAGGTGTTGCGTACATGTAAAGTAATTTTAATTAGCTTGCAAACTATTCTATTCATTGTTTTGTTTCTTTCATGGGCGGTTCTAGACAGGGGCCAACAGGGGCCAGTGTCCCTGTAGATCATGTCCTGGCCCCCGCACTGAAGACATAATACTCAAAGAAATTCTAATCATGATATGCGCTGGAACACGTGGTTACTGATAGGTCCTTTGGATCTATTTAATTTGGATCTATTTAACAAATAATGTTTTATTGATTATTTAAAAACAATAAGGTGATAACTTCAGTGATATTGAGATAGGATCCCAGTTTTCATCTCCTAAATGTTGTTTTCAAAACAGTAAAAAAAAAAAAAAGTGCTCTAATTTTTACAGCTGAATTTATCACTTTTTTCTTGATTTCTTATTCTGATTTTATATATAACGGCCATTTTAACTTAAATTAACTCTAAAATATGTAAAATAAAACTAAATTATATATTATAAATATAACTAATTGAATAGAAATTTCACTTCATTCAGCTCTCTTGATATATTTGAATTCTCTTCACTGTTTTTTTATTTCATGCTTTTCTGTGCCCCCATGAAAAACACGCTGGCCCCCTCCTGGCCCCCTGGAAGAACCGCCACTGGATTCTTTCCCTTTATTTTTTATAATAGATGACCTTTGAATGTCAGGTCATCTAAACACAGTTTATGCACTAAATATAGATAATCATTGTCGACCATCTGGCCACTGTTTTTCATTTTTTTATTTGCATGTTTCATCTTTTGCATATGTTCATTTCAGTTAGCTGTGGTCACACTATGTATTGTTCTATTACTCTCGTTAGGATTATGACCCATTTTTGGGTACTTTGATCAACCAGGATAGAGTCTTTAGGATCCACCATGAAAATGAAACCAAACAATAAATATTTATGTCGAAGTATTTAAGGAGGAACTTAAACTAAAAGTTTTCACTAAGTAATGAATAAATCCAGCTACATTGGTTGTCGGGGCTGTTTGTAATATCGTTACACCCCCAGTTTAATGATGTTGTAGAAACATTTCTATAGTCAACCAATTATTTAGGTCATGAGTCAACTCTGAAACTTTTTTTTTTTTGGTTCAAAGGCTGAAACGTTTGAGAACCTTGAATCTAGCCATTCATTTGTGAAGACAAAAAGCCACCAAAAGGATAATGAATTAAATTCAGTTTAATCTACATTTCAGCAAGACCCTTGATTCAAGATGACACAATTAGCCACAGAAAAGGAACATAGATGCAGTGATCTATAAATACCTTCTACGTTAGAAAAGTTCATGGTAAATTAGTTCCACAGGCGGCTCTGTCTGGGAAATAATCAGTTAGTTCAGCAGATGATCTCTGAGCCAGTTGTCGTGCCAAAGGGGATGAAAAAGTGAACAGTAACTTGCAGTAAAAGCTGAGCCCAAGGCTGTATCTAGGAGAGAAACGGGACTAAACACTGAAAAAGTTGTTGACAGCAGCAGGCTAACTGATGCCTAACATAACCAGGCCAGACAAAGATACCAGGACAAGAGAAATAACAAATACTACAGAAATAGAATGAAGCAGAGTGAGGAAAAGTGGTCTCTTTGTCCTCCAGCAGTCTAAGCCTGTAGCAGCATAACTATATAAATCATATAACTAGGAGCTTTATCAAAAAATTTAAGCTTTAAGACTAATAAAATTGTTTTTTTTTCTCTAACCACAATTAGAGCAGTGGTTTAACTCATACCAAATTGGATTTTAAAAGTTATTTATTACTTAATATTGCAAGTTAGTATAAAGAATTTGACTTTATATTTGAGCAATCGAATGTTAGATATTTCAGAAAAGATGGTAAATATAGTCTAAATTCCCCCGACATAAACTTGT